TCGAGTCCCAAACTAAGCAACGCATGTACTATGAGTACTAGATAACTGATAAACAAAGAAATACATATTATAAATATATAAACACGCAGACACTGGAAAAACACCATGTTAATCACACAATAATTTTTCAGTAGTGGGGATCGAATCCACACCCTCTGGCGCTAGAGGCAGGGTCACACGGGCGGCGGTAGTCACTTAACATCAGGTGAACCGTCTGCTCGTTTGACAACTTTTCGCATAAAAAAAACATTTACACTTCAACACGTGATCGTTAACTATTTTTCAATTAACATTGAATATAATCATCCAGCGTGCTTTCGATGAACAGCTTTGCTCTAAGACTAAAAAATCAACACGCGCGAAAACCATAGTCTGATTCAAAAGCTGAGAGGTGTGAAAGAGGGTTCCGCAGGTCTTTGTACCGGCATAATAGGCATTGTAGACTTCTGACACGTACTCTACAAAAGAACCATTCCCGCTCAACCCTAATATACCATTCACGACCTCTGATTTGGAATAATTTCGCTAGCGGCGGCGGGGGTGCGGCGGATCTGGGTAAATTGGTCGCAATATTCTATATTTTACACGGAGGGATTATTATTATTGCACCAGTTACGTCGCTTTCGAGAGGCTCTTTTTGTTCCTCAAGAGCTGGGGTGTCAGAGCCGAGTGATTCGAGATGTTGGAAAGGGACAGTCGTCTAGAGAAATGGTGAGGTGTGAAATGGAAATTATGCTAGAACGTTTAATTGATATTCATAGAGCCGTGCGCAATCCTAGACCATGGGGTTTTTAATTGAAAGGGAACAATGTCTTCCCTATTCTGTTATGCAGAAGGACCCGACTGTACTTGCGCAGTCGTTGAACCGTTACAGGCCAGTGTTGAGACAAAACATTTATTTTTTTACAAATAATCGTAGGGAATAGTTCATTAAAATATTATCGTGAGCCCCTTCAGATTTGTTGGTTTGATTTCACAATTTTTTTTAAAGCAATGTTCGAATCACTTGTGGGACCTTTATGAATTTTGTATATTCGTCGTAATGATGAAATAGTTTTATATTGTGTTTTGATGTAATTGTGTACACTCCTTTACAAGATTCTGTTACGGGATGCAGGGGTTCTGTTTTCATGTTGTCTTATCTTATCTCTTATTAATATTGTTAATACAATTCGATGCCTGATTCGTTCATTGCGTATTTGTACTTTTTTATGCTAAGTATTCTCCGCATTGATCACCATTATTGAGATATGTATGTATATATGTATGTATATTCGTAAATTTCATTCCGGGAACGATAAAATAAATAATAGATCGATAACAGTGACTGATTTACACGAGAAAACAGTGGCGCTAAATAACCAGAAATTGAAAAAAAAAAGTTTTGGAGTTGGTACATGTACACCACCACACCAAATACCTATTATAGTATTTCTCTTTGTCACCACTTAGAATTTATGTATTAAAAATTAATTCTTAAGAGAGTAATGAGGGGATTGAAAATTATATTAAAAATTCGCCATTGGTGAATAATCAATAAAAATATTAGGCAATGTATTTACAAAAAGAAGTCGCTGAAACCTAGTATGTTTTTCCAGAATTTCACATATTAAGTAAGCAAAAAAGATTTGTCTGTGGGTCTTATATCCGTTTTAAGCTTGTCAGCTTGTTTACAGCGTGATAAACATGGGTTCAACGTGATTTTTTAATTTGATAAAAGTGGGAACATACTGTTGTGGGTTTGATCTTCCCACACTGGAAAAAAAAATTAGTGTGTTCAATGAATGATATTCCAAGCCTGGATGAACTTGCGTCCGCGATTTTCATGTTTGGAAAACGTCCCATGACTTTTTTATGTGAGAAGGTGGCAAGCTAGCTGACGGTCCTCCTGATGTTTAGTGATAACCGCTGCCCGGTGACTATTGCAACACCCGTAGGGTTGCAGATGCGTTGCCACCTTTTAATAAGGTGTGCCCTGGCTACCTCACTCACCAGACGAAACGCAGAAGTGTAACATTTCTACTTTACGCCAGTGTTCTGTGAGGTCGTGGTACTTACCCAGATAGAACTGCTCATTCGTGCAACAGCTGAGACTGTTGCGTGGCCCTACTGCAGTGAAAGAAAAAAAATTCTTGCTGTTGCGGTGGTCATTTTTTAAAATACGAATTTAAGGTTCTCCTTTGGCACACATTCCATACGCGAGCAAATGACGACGAGAAACTTTTTTAGGCACTATAAGTAAAGTTGTTCAATGAAATGATAAGGTACAGAGCGTAATATCATCAACAAGAGCCCGCCAACTTAAACAGTGTGCCCGAATAGAGACACTTGCACAAAAACTTTCACATAAAAATATTAAACTTTAACCCAACTTCCAACATTGTGACAACAGCCTCCCTAGTGCTGGGAAGTGTCCGATTCACGCTCAGTTTTACTGCCAGCCCGTCTATCTTACTCTTTAAAAAACCGTCCAAGCGCGGGTGGGACTCGCGCACGAAGACTTTTTTAGACAAAATTTTTAATTTCTATTTTTTTATGATACAACATACAAAAATACATACAATCCTCAATTTTCACCCCTCTACGCAGACGTAGTCGCGGGCAGCAGCTAGTGTAATATATAAAATTCTCGTGTCACAGTTTTCGTTGCCATACTCTTCCGAAACGGCTTGACCGATTTTGATGAAATTTTTTGTGCTTATCCGGTATCTATGAGAATCGGCCAACATCTATTTTTCATCCCCCTAAATGTTAGGGGTAGTCCACTCCTAAATTTTTTTTTTATTTTTTAGACAAAATTTTTAATTTCTATTTTTTATGATACAACATACAAAAATACATACAATCCTCAATTTTCACCCCTCTACGCAGACGTAGTCGCGGGCAGCAGCTAGTTATCTATAAAAATGGCAAAAGATCATGTCTGTTATATGGGAGCCCCATTTAAATATTTTTTTATTCTGTTTCTTATTATTTGTTGTTTAATAGAATATATCATCCGTGAGAATTTCAACTGTCTAACTATCACGGTTCATGCGATACAGCCTGGTGACAGACGGACAGACAGACAGACAGCGGAGTCTTAGTAATATCGTTCCTTTTCACCCTTTGAGTACGGAACCATAATAATCGAATTGAGCCACTCGTCGTTTGGCTCGAACGCGTTAAAAGAATTGTGCTTATTAGGAATAAGAATTCGATATTACAAAAGCGCGCGTAAGACCTCTTATGCCATGTCGCTGTAATATTAATTAATCCCCGTTAAGAGGCCAACCTCGTGGGGCCCAGCTCTTACGGCGAATTACCGAGTCGCGTCGTCTCGCTTAATTGCTGAAAATTGTAAATTTAATTGATTCAGACTCCGTCTTAGCGCTACCGTCGCACGGGACACGGGAGCGAATTTAAAGAGGAAATGACAGGCTAATCACACTAGTCCCTACTAATGCAACACTTTTCTAATTAATATTACATTTTCGAAAATTTATTTGTTAGGTTGGCTTTCAAGCGATAATAGCAATGCTTAACTCTGCGTAGCTCTGTAATATTTTACATTTATAACTCAAGCAAATGCAGCTCATGGAATGCGGGCGGGCGGCGGTAATCACTTACCATCAGGTGAGCCTCCTGCTCGTTTGCCCCTTTTCTCCATAAAAAAAAAAATGGAAGCTCAGCATTACTTGGTGTGGTGACTTTCCATGGGCTGCTTTTCCATAAAAAATATGGCTGTACTTTATATTGATCGCAGTAAGAGCGCAAAAATATATATTAGTTGATGACATCTTAGTCTTCCAATTACGCCCCTTGATGATCATTGGATCGATATCAACCGACCACCAACTACTGAAAACATCAAGAAGTGTTTGTTGTTGTTATTTTATTTAAGTGTCGTATTTCCAATCTAATGTATATTCATGTGAGTTCAAGTTCAACCTGGTATTTAATGTCATTTTAAAGTGATAACCTAGAGACATAAAAGCTTAATGAGATTAGGCCACGATTCGGGGAAGTGCCATAGCCTCTCAGGCAACCAGCGTGCAGTGGAACTATGTACTTTTGCGTTTCGTCTGGTGAGTGGGGTAACCGGGGTTCACTTATTTAATGATTGACAAAGCATCTGGAGTCCATCTGATGTTGTGGAAGTCTCGGGGCGGCGGCAGTCACTTAACATCAGGTGAAACGCATGCTCTCTGGTCAATTGTTCACAAAAAACAGCTTACTTGGAGCTACGATTTTACGAAAGATAGCCCTATCTAATATAACATAATAAGGTTGCCTGGAAGAAATTGATTCTTTAGCAATAAGGCCGCATTGTATACTATGTTTCCCGTATTTTCGTTCTATGTATTTCCTTGAGTGCAATAAAATATATGCCATATATTGCAACTTAGTGAAACATAAGAGCCATCATTATATCCTTAAGTAAGCTCTCATGTATTTTAGGCCTCGCCAGGCCTAAAACACATGCGAGCTTTCTTAGTTAAAAATATGGATTATTATGGATATTTCATGGATAAATTATGGAGTTCTTCGGACGTAAAAGAAAAGAAAAATTTATGGTTTAAACATTTGAATCTTATCATGAGTTGGAAAAGCTTTGAAGAAATGTGAGACGAAAGTATGTAATATAAATATTTAGGAACTTAAAAACTGTTTTGTATTTTTGACAACTTCAAGAAGTATAAATTAATCAGAAGTTAAAACAGGTAGAGGAATAAAACAGTTTGTCAAATGAATGGCTGAATTTTTGTTCTGCAAATAAAATGCAGTAAAAATTTTACAAACATGTTTTTATAATAGTAAATTTTAATAAATTGTCTTAAGTCGAAGATAAAATGCAACATAAAAATCTATGAACCCGTTCGAATACAAATTTAATAAAATGTTACTGTGCTAAATACTAGCCGGAAAGTCAACAGCATCACATATTACCTGGTGTTCATATTAAATACAGTATAGTATATATATAAATACATATTAAATACAGCTATAAGTAACCGAAAATGTTCAAAGACGACGACGGTAAGTGAATAACTTAACTTTTATTTATTCATCTTTAGGACCTACTCTTACAGAACGCCATCTATTCCTAAAGCTAGAAAAACTTGTTCTGTGGGCAACTGTTAAATGTACTTAAACATCTAACGTAACGTTCTTCAAACTTACAAACATTTTTATTCAATAAAGAAATATCACCATGAAATAATTCATAAGTCGATTAATAAATCGATGCAAACCCTTACTTTTAACAGAAAAAAAAAATAACATAAACTTATTATTTTCACTGATGAAGTCCATTTTAAAGACATTTTATAGACTTCGAAACATAATAAATATATAAATACACAGTATTGCTTACATGCTGAATATAGGAACTGGGACAAATTTAAAATCTCTTTTGTTTATTGGTCTTGGTAACATCGCCCTCGGGCTCCTTTGGTATATAAAAATTATTAACGGCTTTGAAAATTTTAAAAAATTACCTTTTTAGTTAATTAATACATGTTACTCGTATATACAAACACACTTAATAATTATTGTTTTAAATTAACTTTTGACCTTGACTGACTTCTGACTGTCCAATGGTTTAGGCCCACAAGGGGGTTGAAATAAGACGGCCGGTCATAAAAAACACAGTCAAAATCATTAGCAAGATGTTAATTATGAATAATTCATATTATATACTATCGAAAATAATGTACCTGTATATCACATACGGATTTAAATAATCCGTGTGAACATAAAATTTAATGGTTCAGAAAGCAAAGAGTAATTAATACACACAACTCTTCTGTCTAATAACAGAGACTTCCTCGGACGTTTACGAATATAAGTTATTTATTTTATGTTATATTTATTTGAGTTTTATCTGCATATGTAACTAAAAAAAATTCAACTCCAGCTTTCTTAGGCTGGAGAGTTGAAAAGCAACAACATATCGACATTGATCGTCATTTGATATACATAGTTCCTTATGATAAGTTCGATACATAAATTCAATGATTTGTAATTCAAATCTGGCGATATGGGATTAAACCGGCATCCTTATGCATGAGAGGCATGCCGTCTCCCGACTGAGTTATCACGGCATATGGGATTCAATATTATACTCAGAGACATCGATGTTGTAGCCAAGTTTTAAACAGTAGCACAACTTGATTCTGAAATCGATTCCAAAGTAGAAGCACTTTCTCTTTATCGGACGGTGCGCTTTACAAACATAAATTTCACGCCGACAAACACCCAGATGCGAAACAACTAACTGTATCAAACACATGTCCCGTGTGGGAATCGAACCTACAACCCCCGACGCCGAAGCCAAACCTTGGCAACTACGGAGGTTTGGAGTCATCACACAGTGAGATTGAAGAAGTTATAAATGCAGGGTATGTTTATTGTGCAGTTTATACGAAGGAAATAACTTGTGCAAATCGAGAAATTTTATAGAAAAAAAACAATACCCTGTGATGTGATAGTTGTCCCCCTAAGCTCGCTTTTAATAGAGTATATTTATTATATATATAAAAAAAAAAATTACAGTTTTCAATTTTCAACGCAGATTTATCATTTGCTCGGTGGTAAAGAAATACTTTGTGGGAATACCCGCGTATTTTCGTCATAATAATAATTAAAAACAATATTTCGAAGATCTGTAGTCTGTCAAACTGCAGTGGGGTTGCGCGGTGAACTATCCTCTATCCTTTATACCTTCTGTACGGTGGACGTCTTTGCCCAGCTGTGGGACATGTATAGGTTGTTACTTAAGTTAACTTCGCGTTCTTTCTCATTAAATGGTCGTAAATAGTACAAGACAAAGGTTGAATGGGTTTTTTCAAATATTAATGTTAGATGTAAAGAAATTTTTCATATTTCTTTATATTATATCACCGAGAGAAAGTCTGTGCTGTTGTACTCTACGTGCATGTTAGTGAGCGAGTGTGAGTTATCCCCATTGTATAGAGATTTGATTTTGCTATTGTAATAACAAGATATTTTAGATCATATGGTTATAAATTAAGGATCTGTAAACGGCTTAGTCTTCGGAATGTAATGGAGAAAATACAAGCTACCTAAGGGCTATTATTCTAAGCTCGTAGAATTCGAAATAAGATCAATGTTCTTTTCCTTATAATTTCTCTAAACATTATTGAAGAATTCCGTTTTGACATTGATCTGAGTCGATTTACAACAGTGTAAAGCGATTTATGAGGTAACCGGTTTCTTCTATGTTGGAAATGCATCTGAGACCTGTGTGTTGTACATGTCCATTGGTAATGTTACGGCGGTAATGGACCATCTGTTCCCCTTGCTAAATTAAAAAAAATATATCTCTAAACTCTCTACCTTTGGTTGGGTCGGATTCAACAGGCGTCTAGTAATGAGTAGCGTTTTTTAGATTCGTTACTTGTACTAATTATATATATAAACTAGCGGACCGGACAGACGTTGTCCTGTATACACTACAATTAAAAAAATTGTATAAAAACATACTAGATATATACTACCCAAGCACTAGAAAAACACTACGAAAAACAAAAATATTGTGCTGAAATACAGTACTTTTTCCAGTAGTGGGGATCGAATCCACCCATTACGCTTAAGGGTCGTGAAAATTCACAGTTCACAAAAATTGACAATTTATCTGGCACAGTACACCACAGTACAAACGTAACGTTTGTTATTTCTATCCACCACATAAGGTAAGACGTTAGAAAGAGAAAAGGATGGCTGATAGGACTGTGTTTTTTGGTAGGGCCACGCAACATTTGTTTGCATTTGTTACAGGCCTGTTGCACAAATGCGCAGGTCCATCCGGGTCAGTTCCAAGACCTCACAGAAAACCGGCGTGAAGTGGAAGTGTTATCCTTCTGCGTTACGTCTGGTGAGCGAGATAGCCTGGGCGCACTTTATTAAATGGTGGCAACGCATCTGCAACCCTACGGGTGTTGCAAATGGCCACGGGCGGCGGTTATCACTTAACATCGGAAACCGCCAGCTCGATTGCCGTCTTCTCGAACATAAAAAAATTTCTGATAGATGAGGAGGATAACACCTTCGGTGTCACGCGCTATCCGTGCATGCCGTCGCTGGTTGCGCTTCAGCAGATGAGGAACAGGCTCCATCTGGCGAACCTGGGCAAGAAGCTGATGAAATGGACGGCGCTGGCCACCGGTACCGAGTTGAGACACATTGCTGGGCAGCTGGATAAGTGAGTAATGATTCCTGCGCTTGCGACCCTTACCAGTCCATGTGACGTTTGATATCATACAAAATAAATTGTAACTTTCTGAATTGTTTCGTATTCTAATCGAAGATTTGCAATCAATTTGGTTAGGGAAACATTCTGGAACAGATTTTCCCTTCCGTAGACCTGAGTCGATGGTCCATAGACAGCGTTTTCGTGGTATCTTAACTTGAGAGACTTCACTGCTTATCTACTTCTAGTCTAAGCTGATGAGGTTTTTATGGTTTACTTAACAGTAGCGTCGATCAGGGCCCTGATAATTATACCTTGCTAAAGTTATTAATAGACTTCAGCAGCCACAATAATAACTAAAATTACCTCTTATATTAACTTCCTCTCATTTATTTAGTGTATACAAGAGTTTTAGCGAGGACATGCGCAATGCATACATCCTATTGGCCAGGTGTCGCTACTTTTACCCGAATCTTAACAAGATGGTTGTTGAAGGATGCCCTAGTGTGGTAAGTGCGTGCATCAATTTCAATTGCTCAACGCCATAGTACAATTGTTGCTTAATTTAGGACTAGAGAATATTGTGTAAAAATATGTCCTAAATATATTTATTTACTTATTAAAATTTCTTAGATTATTTCATCTTAGGTTTTGGCTATGTTTTTAAGGCCGCCGGCCGTCTGCCTGATATCATACCTCCTTGGGAAATAAACACCCAGATCCATAACAATTATCTGTGGGTGAAAACAATTATGGTGGTGGTAGCAATGGAGCCACAGAGGCATTATTATTATGGCAACATTTATGTAATAGTTATAAGATTACATAAATAATTAAATAAAATTCTATAATAAACGTCACGCAAATTGTCTGACACAAGGCCGGACAATTAGCTGCAAGCTTTCTCTCTATAATATGTTTGAGAGGTATGGTCTTGCGATATTACGGCGATCCCTTATCGAATTTGTACCTTGCGTGCGTTCATAGGCGGTGTGAACTGCGGCCCATCGCGTTTTTCATTGTGTCAACTCATTTTGTCGGTTCCCTTCCTTGAGCACGTATGTCCTTTATCTGACCTGTAATGATCTGCTTCTCGAGTTTTTGACTTGACGATCGCATAAAGTGTCCAAGAAAGCAGAGGGCCCGTTCACGGCAAATTGGAGAAAGCTGCTTCGTAATGTTAAGCTTTTTAATAGAGCGTTGGCTCTCATGGCAGTCCAATGAATACGGCTTCTTCGCGGCTTCTTATACTCTATGTTTCGGAACCTTACATGAAAATAGAGAAGACCAATGCTCGTACCAAGCGCACCTTCAAATTTGCCTTAGCACAATCCAGCAAATATATACAGTTAATACTCCAAAACTATGCGCATCACAACTTTTATGCTTTTTCTTTGGATTCCATTTGCAAGTATTGTCGTTTCTAACAAAAAGGATCTCATTGTATTTAAATATACGTTTGTTCCCTTTTTGTACTCGTATATGTTTTGTAAATAACAACATTTATTAATTTAATAAATTTAGTCCAATTATCAACAAAAGCGTGTTTTTTAGTTTTTGTTAAAACTGTCATTTATTTTATATTTTTTAGTTCTGATAAGTATAAAAGCTTGTTTTTTATTTTTAAACATGTTTTTAATGCGTACTTGTCACAAGGACACTACCGGCTATCGGATTTGGAAAATAGCTAATCCTGAAGGTCCTGATCAGGATACAAAGCTATTCAAATTATTGCACTGTCAATTTCTTTGACGAGTGTGCAAAGTTTGATTCAAATCTGATAGTTCAAAGCGTCTTAAAATATTAAATCGCTGAATATATTTAAATCGCTTCTGGTTACAGTTTCTGATATCACTTAAAACACATCTAATTTACCAAATAAAAAACAACTTTTACTGCGATATGATAGAAGTATGCTGGCTGTACATTTTTTCCTTTTGGATTAATGTTAAAAAAAGAATTATTTCGCTTTCAGCCAGGTGTTTTACTGTCGACAACAACAAAAACTGCCTCTGGTGTGAAAGTCATCAAATATGAGATAATTGAGGTTTGTTTCAGTTTTATTACACGTTTCATGATGTAATTATTGGAATTTCCGTCTCTGTCCAGTTATATAAATATAATTCTTCTGTGATGATGATTTTTATTTTGTATTTTTTATGTATTCTGTTCCTTTAGGTTATGATATATTTAAATTTCACCTATTTCGGGTTAAACTAGTTATATCAATACTCACATCAATACATGATCACATAATGTATGACGTCAACGCTTGCAGAACAAAACCCACCCCTATGAACATCTGGGTATTGAGAAGGGTGGGCAAACCATTCAGGATGCGAAGAAGGCTTGGTTGGACCTGCTAAAGAGGATAATATTGATGGTGGAGCTTCGTACCAATTTCAGATTGGTTGAAACAATGCATAAAACAGCTAACAAGTGAGCCCAATTTCGTTTCGTGTTCATCGTTTTCCTGCTTGAAAGACGGCACAATCGTAAAAAGCTAGCTTTGGCGTGTGGGTTACTGATGCCACCGAGGAGTATTCTCTTAATTTAGATTAATTCAAAGAATCGAGCCATCTCGAACGGGGAAAATATGAGATTCATTGAAGTTGCTCATTTCAAATTTACTTTCTAGTTGCTATTCACCTTTACACAGGTACATTTTGAAGTAATGTGAAAATATAAAAATATTAAAATTGTGTCAGTATTTCAAGGTTAACTTGTCAAAATAAAAATTAATTATATGCTCCTATCGTACTTTGTCATAATTAGACATTGTGATTAATTTTCGTCATTAATACTATAAAGCTGCCGATTAGCACCCTTCCCTCTAAGGACTGAGCGGGGGAGCCTTAAAGGTGTAGCATACAGTACTTATAATTTTTTCATTGTTTGTACTAACATGTTTCCATTATACTAATTGTTTGTTTTAATAAAAGCTTAGATGGGAAAAACGTGTAGAATGCATAATGCGTAGTAAATGTGTAGTAGATTAAATAACACTACATTTAAATAATGAAGATGTCTATTAGAATATTAATGATACATTTATCGAAAGGTTAAGGCAAAGATTAAGTTAAATTAATATTAATTGATATTGTCTGCACATTACATATCTTCGGTACATGCAGGTCTATAAGACGGAGTAAGTATAGTTGTCTTGACTGTACTTTTTTTGGGATCTGTTTTCTGTGCTCGATACGTTATCATTTTCTTTAAACTTACCTAAATAAAATCACAATTCACCAGTATATACCAGAAAATTGCAATTTACATTTAGAAGTATTGCTCCAGTACACCCAAAAAAAAAGGTACAACTTGAAAATGTCAATTAGCTACCAAAGCTATTGTTATATATGCTTTTTTGAAAATATTAGTTACTTTCAGTATTAAGAAGGACTTTTTGAAATGTATACCAGTGGTCTTTGGTCACTTATATGTAAGCCCGTGCAGTCCTTAAGGAAAGATAAGTCGGTAGTAATACCAAGACAGAATTTGTTCTTCTACAATTGAAATTCTTTATCACAGGAAAATGAACGTCTTGGGAAAAGTGGTTATACCAAAAACTAAAGCCACATGTGCGTACATTATAAGTGCATTGGAAGAGTTCGCTAGAGATGAATTTTATAGACGCAAAATGATTTTAGAAGTAAAAGAGAAGGAAAAATCAAAGGTTGATAAAAAAGCCGGTACCAGTAAAGAATCAACTTTAAAATGTGACGATACAAACGATGATTCACTGTTAACTTTATTAAAAAATCATATCGATGATATTTTACAAACAGTTAATAATATTGACGGAAAAACACTTGAAGAATGTAATATTCAAGAATTTTTAAGCTTAGGAGAAGGATTAAAGAATAAACTAGATGCCATTATAAAATCAGAACCAATTTTGAGTAAACCAAGTAGTGATTGTTACATTTGTGCTAAAAATAGTTTAGAGTCTGTAACAAGGAATGTACAGGCACCGAACTCAGAAATAATTCCACAGGAGCCGCAAGAAAATGTTTTATCGTTAGAGAATTATCATAAGACACAAATATCAAATGAATTTATTGACACAAATTCTAATCTTGGTGGATTTGTGATAGAAGTTAAAGAAATAACTAAAATCGTGAGGATTAGAAACAAAGATGGAACTATAAAAGAAGAGAAAAAAGTTATAAAAATAACGAAAGAAGTTAGGGACGCAGGAGCTCAGAGCTTACCACAACTTTGTACTTCTAATTACTCAAGTGTTTCAAAGGATGATACAATAAGTAATAAGTCATATTTTTCATCTGGATCGTCCTCAAAGACTTCACATTCACGCGATACAACGATAAACATGATAAGTGTCAATGATTGGATCAACAGGAAGTTGATAAATAAAAGTTTATATGACCAAAAATATTTGGCTCAGCAAATCAATGGAGAAACATCAAAAACGAATGCAAGTATGTACTATGGTGATGTACTATTCGATAAAAATTCTTCTCAAAAATTTGGTGAAGAGTATTTGAAACTCAAAGATTATAGTTCTTCTAATTCGGTGACCAAATATGAGCAGGATATTCTATGGGAGATTGAAAACAATAATTTAGAACATACAACATCTCTCTTATTTAAAGTAGTAGAAGCACAGAAATCAGAATTTACAAGCCTTTCATCTGAAACTAATGAGACAAGAATATGTCAAGATAAATCAAAGGAAGTAAATCACACAGAGAACATTACAGAAACAAGTGTATGAATAATATACGACTTACCTAACGACTTATCTAATGTTTTGTTCGGGGTCACATGTAATGCTATTTTAAATATTTTTTTCTACACATTTTAATATCTTTTTTTCAATATTTTTTTGACAACTCAAAGAAATAATCACATATCGATGACATTATAACGCATAGTCCTTAGAAGACAAGGGGGTGAATTTTGGTAGCAATAAAGCAAATCGTAGTAAGAGTTGTAAATTGTTCACAGGCAAAAGAATATTCTTGGCAACCTAATCACAAGGAAGATATTATCCTCACTAACTAATCCTTATATACGCATATCCGTAGATTTAAAAGAATTACTTTTTAATCATGCAATTGAACAAGTTAATGTAAAAAATATTTTTTTATTGAATCATTACTTTACAGTTTTAAAAGAAAATTACACCATTAAAGATCATTATTTTAATTATTTATATGTAACGCACTTTAATGTTAACATAAAAAGTAATATACCAAGAACCGTAAACCTTAAATTTCACAAAATATTATCTGTATCGTATAAATATTTAGAAGAAAATATTGATTTGTCCAAATGCAGGCCAACATTAACCATAAAATTTTTGACGAAATTTCTTGGTACCTTAATTTTCTATAATTTACCCAGAAATCAATTTGGAAACTTACTGTGCTTAACAATGTTGAGTAATACTACTTTGTACAGCTATATAAAAACAATAAATGAATTTTCTATCTACCAATTAATGGTCTTACGACGCCATTTAATAGACTTTATTGAGGTGTCGAGTAGGTTTCTATCAGAAACTTTTAATTTCTTCACAGAATCACTTGAAAAAAATAACTCTAAGATTAGTTTTGATTTCTTTAACAAAGCCATAGAACAACAAGATCAAATTAAATTTAACAAATATCCTTTTAAGGAATACAGGCTGAGGAATTTAAATAAAACACAAAAGTGTGCTCCCTTATGTAATAACTATTTTGTGAATTCTCCTATATCAGTATATTTAGTTTTAGAAACTAAAAACGATTGTAGAATGTCAAAGGAAGTGTGGAATAAGTATTTGTTGGAAGAGCTCCTTAAAAAAATTGATAAGACAGTAGGCATAGCTAGATCAGTTACAAATGACAATTTTGTTAATGATGTAAAAAAGTTTATAGCAGCTTCTTTAGAAATAAAAACAAAATTGGAGAAAGGGAGTAAAAACGAAGTATCTACCTCATACTCTCAGGCTAGCGATGCATGTTCTTGTAATGAGCAAGGTGCAAATTATTTAGGGGAAAATAACAAAAACAATATTGAAGAGGATATAGACATGTGTGGTTGTTGCGATAATAGTAGTAGAACTAATAAAGAAAACGTGAAAAAGAAAGAGGAAATGCAACGTACTTGTTGCACTTCTTCAACGACCAGCATTAAAGACATGACAGTAGGAGCGATCGTTGGATACTTCGAAAATGAAGTACATAAGACATCAAAAGTAAAACGTTACATCAATGAAAAAGGAGTAGTACAGGAAGAGATAGAGACAATAATCATAACAAAAACAAAAAATGATCATGCTGAAAACTTATTGGAAAGCGATTAAAATGATAAAAGTTCCGATCATTTATGATAAAGGTTAAATGTGAGGGATGCGTTAGATATTTACCATTGTTCTTATGCAATATTTGCAGTTTAAATAGAAATGTAAAGAAGACAAATATTAATTAACGCTAATTACTGAACGCAATTAAAACATGGGAGGCGCACGTTCATACAAGCGATTGTTATTATCATCGTCATTTCATATATACAAATCATAGTACTCTAGTTTCAGTGTTTCATAAATATAGCGCCACCATTAGTACTGTTATTTAGCGCGGTAGTTGATAAGCCGCCAGTAATGCCACACGCCATAATTGCCAGTTTTATGCATCATAGTTAATTAAACAATAATTATTTAATGCGTCGTTTTTACTTCTTTTGCATTACTTTTAGATTTCTGGGGTATCTATGATACATACACTATTAGTAAAATAAAAAAAATATCCCAACATAACCATAAGTATAATAAGGTCTCTACACCTTTACACAACATGAGAACACAGACAATAAAAGTAAAAGCTAAATTCATTAATTGTAATTATTGAATTGGAAATCCTTGATTAAATGAATTCATATGGCCTGTCATCCCGTAAAACCACTTCGCGGTATAGTTTATAAGCTCCGCCCATCACGGTACAGTGTTCCTAATGCCATTTTGGAGCGATAATAATGCTTCCAGGTTTTATTTGCGTTCATTAATGCCAATTGTTTTAGGATGAAACGACAACTTAAACGCTACATGGTTCATACTAGTAGAAACTATAAATGTTTAAAGGTTATTATGAAGAAAAAAATGTATCGAAATTAAACAAAGCAATTTTTGAAAATTCTAAATATAAAGTCGCACTTGATTTATGTTGTCATATATTTTCCAATGGATATTTTTCGAAGGATATTTTCCAATTTCCATTAAAATGATTTGTCTAGTTTTTCATCTTCATTAAACATAAATTTAAATTAGTATATACAAATGACTGTTTTTCCGAAACTGTTCTTTGATATTAAACAATAAAGTTACAAAAAGTTTTTTTTACACAATTTTAATTATTACCTTTATTAAGCATTATTTTATGAATATCGTGCATACATTATTATGGAAAATTTGTAAACCAATAGAAAATAACATTTCATATATATGATTTCTTTTTGCTTGAAATGATCGTATTAGTTGTTCTTAATTTAGTAAAATGTTTATATTTTAAACATTCTACCAATAAAGGGAAGGGTGATATTGAGTAGCTTATTAATTATAGAATTGTTATATATGGATGTAGTGATTTTTTACAGAAAATGGAATGTATTATCAAAAATGGTTGCTCCACGGATAACCTTGAGTACACGATATATTTTATCCGAGCTGGAAGAAATAGAAAGAGAAGATAACTTTAGACTAAAGCGATTTAAAGAATTAAAAACTAAGAAGAAAGGAAAAGATTCAGTAGATACAGATGAAATCGTTGATGAAATGGAAAATAACATGTGTATATCAGATGAGGACAAAACGGATGAGGACACAACAGATGAGGACAGAACAGACGAGGACAGAACAGATAAGGACAGAAAAAATGAGGACAGAACTAAGTTCCCCTCTAATATAGAAGAAGGACCACCGTTGCGATTAAATACCGAAACAGAATTGAATAGCCATGAAAATGAGCAATCATTAGGTTTAGAAGCAATTGATATACACGGAGATTCTAATCAAAACCTAGATGCAAACAAATATGAGGATAATAAAATAGAAGGAACGTATGTCCGTTATCAGCCCCTTTCATCCGAAAAACATAGGGCGTCTCTAGGCGATGAAATTATGAGACCAGCTTTTAATGAGGGGTCTAACAAGTATTTGCTGGATGTTATATCACACACAGATAAAATTATAAAGCTATCAAAACACAATGATAAAATTTGTGACGATAAAGTTTTAGCTACCCATAATGAAGTAAAGGCAATTCTAGAAAAGTTATTCTTAGATCGAGTTTGTGATTATTGTAAAAAGAAAATTCAAGAAACAGATGACCAGAAAGCTCGTCCAGACATTAATGCAGTCAAGCCTTCTAGAGTAGACAAACTAGATAGTGGACTATCCATTCCCAGTAGCTTATTAAGTAGTAACTCGGAAGATAAAGAAAAATTGGGACATTTTGAGAGAAAGTATAAAGAGGTTATAAAGGTGTTGAGATTACAAAACGAAGATGGCACAATTCATCAAAAAAAGAAAAAAATAATAGTTAAAATGGATGATCGAAATCCTATTAGAGCAAAGCCGTTAAAGGAAAGTGAAAATCTGTTTTCAAAATGTCTATGCCTTGAATCCGATAGTCAAAGTGGAGAAAATATAAAACAATTCAAAAGTGATCAGCAAGAGTTACATTATCATGATAAAAATAAAAATATTACTTTATCTCATGCGTCAAATACTAAGTCAGAACCTGTTTGTGGTAATAGTTCGTGGAATGAATCTAAACCAAGGCAGTGTTTGTCTGCAGAGCATCTCAAACTAACAGCAAAATCAGACGCAGTGACATATTGCTGCCCTGATCATATCTCTGTCAATTTAACGTTCAAAGGCAATAGTTGTCACATGTTGCAAAATATTAATGTATCTCAGTTACCTTTGGCTTCATCTGTAAACGTAAATTTTTGTAATTTACCAAGAAATGTATTTGAAAGATCATGTCATGTCAATAATTCATGTGATGACATTGTAAATGGAACAAGAAAAGAGTTACAAAGTTGTAGAAAAATATCTAGTGTGATTGTAACAAACAGAAAAGCTACAGGTACATGTACATGTGACCTTGATCCAATGTCTGAAGAAACATTAGATGAAAGTAGTCAAGCTTTTAATAAAGTTGGTGCTGAAATAGAAGTAAATAGAAGTTATAAGAATGTTGCTAATATTGTAGATATGAATTATATATTCAATAATGTTATGTTTACAGAGAAAATCAATGAGCATATTGGTACCCATGAAAATAATTGTGTGCAATTATCTGATTTTGAATATATTTTTAGCAAGGTTGAAAAGATACTCCCCGATAGAGATTACGAAGTAGATGCTACTAAAAAAATAAATTCCTTCTTTAAGGAATGTTGCAATAATACTAGCTTTTTTCCTTATATCTTCAGTAGTTATAAGCGCATTGAAATTGAAAATATGATAAAAAACGCCTGCTCGCATGTTGTATATTTTCCGTATCTTTTTAGTCAATGTATATCTTCAGGCAGCACGAAAAAGGCGGAGTTAGCTACAGGTGACATCACCATGAATTTGTCGTTTCTAGAGAGAAATTGTAATACTCTCCATAATAATAATATGGCTTTGACGTCTTCTATTCATGTTAATATTTGTCGTTTGCCAAGGAATATTTTTCACGAATCAAGGTATATTAGCAGTTCATATGAAAATTTAATTAGACCAAATGAGGGGCTTTTATGCAATGGTTTACGAAAAACATTTAGTCAAATAGTATTAAAAGGGAATATAGCAGAAACATGCAAATGTGATCTAGATTCAATGTCAGGAGAACATCGAAATTTCGATAGACATTATGGTAACTTTTTAAATAATAATGTAGCTCAATTGCCTGTGGTATCTTCTATTAAAAATAATACTTGTAATTTACCGGAGATTATAATTCAAGAGACAGTTGAATTTGACAATTCATATGAAGACTTAATTAAGACAAGTAGGGGACTAATATACAATTGTTCACGAAAATCATCCAGGCAAATTATCTTAAAAAGAAATGATGCACAGACATGCACATGCGATCTTGATGCAATATCAGATCAAAGAAATTTCTACTCAAATGATTTAAATATAAATTTAACGTCTCACGATATGGCTATGGATATGGATTATGGCAACTTGTTCAATAATAACGTAGCTCAATTGCCTGTGGCGTCTTCTATTCATGATAATATTTGTAATTTGCCACAGATCATAATTCAAGAGTCAGTTGAAATAGAAGGTGCATATGAAGACATAAAAGGTGGCCGTAATTGTTTACGCAAAACATCTAAGGAAATTATTTTGAAAAGAAATAATTCACAAACACGCACATACAATCTTGATGTCATGTCAGAAAAAAAATGTTGCTGCTCTTGTGATATCAATATGAATTTAACATTTGAAGATACAAGTAACAACTTGCACCATGCTAACGAAAGCCAATTGTCTTTGGCGTCTTCCATTAATGTTAATTTGCGGAATTTACCTGGAAGCGTTTCTCAAGAATCACGAAATCATAACAATTTTTATGAAGACTTTATTACCACAAGTAGTGGGCTTATATACAAGTGTTTACAAAAAGCATCCAGGCAAATTACATTAAAAAGAAATAGTTCACAAAAATACACATGCGATCCTGATACAATGTGTAATTTGCCTGGAACCTTAACACAAGATTCAGTTGTATTTGACAATTCATATGAAGACTTAATTAGGACAAGTAGGGGTCTAATGTACGATTGCTTACGAAAAACATCAGGACAAATTATATTAGAAAGAAATAATGCACAAACATGCACATGCGATCTTGATACACTGTCAGAACCAACATGTTGCCATTCAAGCGATATCAATAATAATTCAACATTTGATGGTAGTCGTGACAAATTGTACAGTAGTAATGCTACTCAATTGCCTGTGGCGTATTCTATTATTGATAATTTGCGTCATTTGCCTGAAAACAAATCTCAAGAATCAAAGGATCTTCATAATTCGCGCGAAAGCCTAATTACGACAAGTAAGGGGATAATATATAATTGTTCTGGAATATCACTCAGTCAAAGTGAATTTAAAAAAAATGTTGCGCAAACTTGTGCATGCGGTTTTGATGAAATTTATGAAAAAACAGTTAATAAATACTGTCAAGTCTTAGATAAAGATGGTTCTGAAATGGAAGCTGTGGTTAATAATGCTTCTACTAGTATTGTAGATATGAGTTATATATTTAATAAAGTTGTAATTACAAAGGAAAAAATTGGAAATATTGGTGTGCATGAAAAAACCTATGTACAGTTGCCTAATTTCGCATATATTTTTAGGGAGGTTGAAAAAGTAGGCCACAAAAAAGCACCAGTGCATAATGCACTACATTCTTCTAAAAAAATGGACGCCTATTTTAAGGAATGTTGCAATTATACTACAAATTTTCCTTATATATTCAGTAGTTACAAGCGCGTTGAAATCGAAAATATGATTAAAAACGCCTGCTTGAGTGTTGTTGACTTTCCGTATCTTTATAGTAATATAAAAAAAATTGAAAAAAACAGAAACTTTTGTAATAACTTAGAACAAACAGATATCAACTCTATGTTTAGTGACGCTTGCAAGCAATCTTTCAAATACACTTACATTTTCAGTCATATTAAAAACTCTGAAATTAACGATTTAATCAAAAGCGCCTGCGCTAATAAATCAAATTTTCCATACATATTCAATAATATAAAAGTTGAGAAGCACTTGCAACAAAACGATGATAATCTTAGAAAAGTTGCAATCGAGACGATGTTTAAAAACGCTTGTAATCGGCTTTCTGAATTCAATTATATATTATACCATTTGAACAAAATTAAAATTGATAATATGATTAAAGAAGCCTGCGTGCAGATTCCAGAGTTTCCCTACGTGTTCGATAGCGTTGAGAATCGAGATTTCGTTAAAAAACAATTAGAAGCTAATTGTTTAAATTCAGTTAAAATTGACGAAATGTTTAAAGATTCTTGCAAACGATCTTGTCGTTTTAAATATATTTTTTGCCCCGCAAAAAATTCTGAAATAAATGAAAATACAACGCATATAGATGACAATTTAATTTCAAAAAAATTAAGAAATTGTGAATATCACGATGCCGAAAAGAATTTATCTAACTTTTCATACATATTTACTGAAGTGTCAGAATCTAGTGGAATTCAAATTTCAAATAAAATAGTAGAAATTACAAAGAAAGACATAACATGTGATTGTGAGGAAGTTGAAACATCGACTCAGTTATTGAAGCAAGAAAGCGAATCAAGTTTATTAAAAAATTCCATTTTATGCCAATATTCTTGTAAAAGCACGAAGGAAAAATGTAATTTTAATTATATGTTTAACAAAGTTCGCAAAAATGTCAAGTTAAATAATTCTTTAGAGGGCCAAGGTGTAAATAAAAATGTACCTAATGTGTCATATATATTTAGCAAAGTGATAAATTCAAATACTTTTATAGCACCGACAAATGTTTTGGATATAGATAACATGTTGAAAAATGTATGTATGCGCAAACATGATTTTTCCTACATGTATAATAAATTCGCGAAAACAGATTCTACGTCATATATTGATCAAGATAACCCTAAGCGACATCAAGAAATTGACAAGTTATTTAAAGATTCTTGTAAAGTAGATGCCAAATTAAAAGAGAAATGTGACTATCTATTCAAAAAAGTGAAGAAAATTGATTTCAATTCTAAATGTACAAAAGAATCAACACGTTGTAGTCATTTAAAGCGTTCTAGTTTTATTGATAATATTTTAAAATCACAAAGTATTGATTCCCAAAATAGCTGTATCCGGAATATTAACAATGTGTCGCATAGATTTTTAATGCGAATTCCTAGTTCTAAAGACGGATCAAGCCGTCTTGGAATTGAAGTAATGTTGAGAACGGGCTGTGTATGTAAAAGCAACCATTTATTAACTCATTCACATACTACAAAGTCACTGATTTCTTCAAGAAGTTGTAACCTTAAAGATAAAAATACAAATAATAAAACAAAGTGTTTAAGCATTGTTAAATCGAAGTCACTTCATGGCAAAGAAAGTCTTTCTGGGCATGTTGACCATAAGACTAACAAAGATGAATCTGTTAACAAGAAGAACATTTCACTGATAAGTCGTATGTTAGATACAATAAAAAATGTTTACGTGCCTTTCAGTAAGTCTGTTACCTCTGAAGATAATAACCAACATTCTTCTACTAAAATTGATAATTTAAACAGTATTTTATCAAATTCCACTACGTCCACTTACTCTTGGAAATCATGTGTTATGAAAACATGTCAAGCGGACATAGAGAATGAGGAGAAAAACATTTCTTATTCTGGTTTTTCACTTGGGTCTACACTGGATTATGTCTCATATAAAAGTGAAGGAACGAGTTCCGACGATAAAGGTTTATGCTGCAATCATACGAATACCTCTGTTGCTGGAGAAAAGCGGATACTATTCGATATTGATATGGTATCGGGCAGTTCGCTTTATCTAGTCGATTCTTGTTTATCAACGAAGGAAAGATATCCTACTAAAGCAATAAAAAAGAGTGATTCAAACTATTCTGCCAAATGTGCAAACTCATATATACCGAACACCAGAAAAGCTTCAAAGGTATTGCAAGGGGAGCGATCCGATTTCGTTGATGAGCCAAAGCACGCTTGTAAGCTAAAAGAGAAATGTCCAAAATCATCCTGCGCCCACAATCACGAATTTAATAAATTTGTAAGAGGAGCGTGCTCCTGTTCTTCTGTTTTAGCTAGCAGACTGTTTT